GCATGTTTGAAGGGGCTTCAGTTGTCGTTGAGAATACCCAGGCTTGTGTATATGAGCATAATGTGACACAGACTTGATATTCAATTTTCTGTTTTTTGACAGTTGAACCATAGAAAGTTCTCTTGTCCAGACTTTGGATCTTTGAAGTCAGGTATAATCTGACAGAGATAAATGAAGAGGCTTCCTTGAGAGGCTCTAATTCAAATACCCATATTGTGTACATGTATATTAATAGCATAAAACCATGTAATACTGCATTTACATTACATAATATTATTAGGTTTAATAATTTTCCTGATTGTTTATTAAAAGTCCTTGTTATGATAATCATTAATGTTTAGATTGACATTGCAAAATATACTGTTTCATTTCTCAGCAAAGAAATCAGTGAACTATTCTAATGTTACCAGCATACAAACCAAAGATGTTGTTTTGTGCATTTAGCCATAATGGATGGCTTTGAACACAGTCGTCGGTGTGAACTACTTCAAACCAGCGTAGTTTCAGGGTTTGCTTCAACAAACAAAGACTTTCATTGTAGCTCAGTCAGGACAGCTGACTTAACTTTGTGTGATGAAGCTTCTCCATTTCTTTCTGGCCATATTGATGTCCAAAACAGCATAGGATATATCCTTGAAGCAATGTGAGAGAAAGAATTCTGTGGTATGTTATTGACCTCACTTCTTCCAAGCTCACAAGATGCATCCCTTTGAAATGTGCATGTGGTGATTAAGGATGCAGCAGGTCTGAAATCTGCAATTTTTATAGCTGATACTGTAGGGCCAAAGACTACAGGAATGATATAAGGAACAGGGTATGTTCCATAAATATTAGCATTGTATGGAGTCAGCTGGTGCACTGTGTCTATAGAGAGACATGATGTACCTTGTCTATAAAGAGACATGATGTACCTTGTCTACAGAGAGACATGTTGTACCTTGTCTATAGAGAGACATGATGTACCTTGTCTATAGAGAGACATGATGTTCCTTGTCTATAGAGAGGCATGATGTACCTTGTCTATAGAGAGACATGATGTACCTTGTCTACAGAGAGACATGATGTACCTTGTCTATAGAGAGACATGATGTACCTTGTCTATAGAGAGACATGATGTACCTTGTCTATAGAGAGACATGATGTACCTTTTCTATAGAGAGACATGATGTACCTTGTCTATAGAGAGACATGATGTACCTTGTCTATAGAGAGACATGATGTACCTTGTCTACAGAAAGACATGTTGTACCTTGTCTATAAAGAGACATGATGCATCTTGTCTATAGAGAGACATGATGTGCCTTGTCTATAGAGAGACATGATGTACCTTGTCTATAGAGAGACATGTTGTACCTTGTCTACAGAGAGACATGTTGTACCTTGTCTACAGAGAGACATGATGTACCTTATCTACAGAGAGACATGATGTACCTTGTCTATAGAGAGACATGTTGTACCTTGTCTATAGAGAGATGATGTACCTTGTCTATAGAGAGATATGATGCACCTTGTCTATAGAGAGACATGATGTACCTTGTCTACAGAGAGACATGATGTACCTTGTCTACAGAGATACATGATGTGCCTTGTCTACAGAGAGACATGATGTACCTTGTCTATAGAGAGATATGATGCACCTTGTCTATAGAGAGACATGATGTACCTTGTCTATAGAGAGATATGATGCACCTTGTCTATAGAGAGACATGATGTACCTTGTCTACAGAGAGACATGATGTACCTTGTCTGCAGAGATACATGATGTACCTTGTCTACAGAGAGACATGATGTACCTTGTCTATAGAGAGATATGATGCACCTTGTCTATAGAGAGACATGATGTACCTTGTCTATAGAGAGACATGATGTACCTTGTCTACAGAGAGACATGATGTACCTTGTCTACAGAGATACATGATGCACCTTGTCTATAGAGAGACATGATGTACCTTTTCTATAGAGAGACATGATATACCTTGTCTATAGAGAGACATGATGTACCTTGTCTATAGAGAGACACAATATTCCTCAGTGACAATGTTTGTTACTTATTAAGTTTGATATGATAGTTTGTGGTGGGGGATTATGTCACCTCAGTGACAATGTTTGTTACTCTTTAAGTTTGATTTGATAGTTTGTGGTGGGGGATTATGTCACCTCAGTGACAATGTTTGTTACTCTTTAAGTTTGATTTGATAGTTTGTGGTGGGGGATTATGTCACCTCAGTGACAATGTTTGTTACTCTTTAAGATTGATTTGATAGTTTGTGGTGGGGGATTATGTCACCTCAGTGACAATGTTTGTTTTATTTGTTTGAAGAAGGTTACATTAGTTACATTCCTGATTTCCCAGTCAAATCTTGGAAAAGGTTTTCAGTGTGATATATTTTGTTTCATAAACTCTGAAACGTTGAATGAAATCTGATGTTTTTAATTGTATAAAGAATCGAATAGAAAATGATAGAATCGAGGGTCCCATATCCAAAACCGAATCGAGGTCTGGATGAATCGTTGCAGCCCTCATGTCTGTCAGAAATGAACAATAAAGAGACATGATGCTATTTATGTACCCATCATGAAGTGTTGCACATAATACATCAAAGAGAGCTTTTTTAAGCTTCAGTATGAAGGTAATTTTAAATATATTGCTATCGTATTTTCAATGGAAGAATGGATGGCGTACTTTGGATATGGAAATAGTTGACATGTCATCTTCTGATCTTTTGTATTGGAGCTCCGATCTTCAATGTACATGTACGTGTATGTGTTAATCCCGGGATGTGATTGAGTATTTGATGCTTGATCTTAGATCTTCTTAATGATGTCGGCCAGGCTGAATGTCAGATGTGAACCTGTCCAGGAAAGAGCAGCTGCTGGCTGTTTGATGTGTACAGTTCCAATCCCATCCCTATCATCATGGGGAAATGATGTAGCTGTCCAGCGTCTTATAATCTTGGTCACAGCACAGATATGGATTCACTGGATTGAAATCCCTTCTCGTACATTTTCAGTGTGTGTGTTCGTGTGTGTGGGGGCTGTACCTGAAACGCAGCAAAAAAACACCAGATTGAGTAGTCTGAAACAGTCGGATACAATGGTGTTGTACGGACTTCACCCTTCTGAAACTCCCTGTCTGAACTCCCCTCCCCTTGACCTCATCCTTCTGACCTCTACCTCCTGATTTCATTCAGTTGGTCTTGCCTCTTGTTGAATCTTCACCCTCCTGAAAACCAGCCTTGTGACCCAACCCTCCTTACAAAATATACTGAACCACAAAAGAAACATCACCTTTCAAAATCAAATGCAAAATTTTGTTCTTACAAGGTGGTGTTTTTCTTATGATTGTCCCATTTTGTTAACATGTTTTTCAATCCAAATTGACAGTTATTACCAACATCAGTGTGTTTCCTGATGAAAAAGCATATATCGACCAAACGCACCGAAAAAAACAGACATGGTAAAAGGTTCCGTATGACATTTGTGAAAATGAAAATGTATGTGCATGCCGTGACAGTCCTACCAATGAAATCGTGTCCCAAACTGGCCTGAAATCATTTTTGTTTTGACACAATCACCATACCACGACTTATGATACATCAGAGTAACAAAGTCTGGGGACGATTGCAAGTTGTCCAGACTGCACGGAGGGTAGCCAATCTACCGACTGCAGGAGTGGTATCAGATCACTAACAGTATCTAAGACCGTCCATGCAGTGGACGACCTTCAGTAACATCACAACGTCAAGACCGACAGACTGTGCGCAACCATCTGCAGGATAGCTTCCCCACTACCCAGCGACGGAAACAGCACGCCAGACCATTCAGACTCACAGCAGACCCATCAGTGCCAATACAATGCATCAACGTTTATGCGGAAGAAACCTCTGATGTCACAGATCACATCGTAGTCCTGTCTTCACCGCTCATCACCGCCAAAACCGAGAATGGAGAACTGTGCTTTATCTCATGAAAGCCAATATTGTGTTTCGACAGTCGATGGCAGAGTGAGAGTATGGTGAAGGCGTGGGGAACTGTTTTCCAATGTATGTATTGTTGAAAGAGACTCGTGGGGTGGTCCAAGCATCATGGTGTGGGGTGCAATCAGTCTGGACCAGTCAGTTGACGCCGTGGTGTTCCAGAATCTTGGTCCAGGATGAGGAAATGACGTGACAGCTGCTCACTATTTTCACCAAGTCATAAGACGCCATGTGGTACCACATTTTGGACGTTACAGAAATCACATCTTCCAGCAAGACAACGCACGTGCCCACACTGCCAGAGCAACACTGGACTTCCTAAGACAACGTGGCATCCAAACCATACAATAGCCTGCACTCAGTCCGGATTTAAGTCCAGTAGAACACCTTTGGGACGGATTCAAAGAAAACCGCAGCAGGACTTGATCAGGCATTTCACAGAGTATGGACCCAAGTGTCTATGGCCTTCATCAACCGGCTTATTCATTCCATGTACAAACGATGCAACGCTTTCATCGATACCCATGGAGGTCACACGCAATACTGACTTTGGGGTATCTTTTGCTGATTTTGCTTGTGTGAACTCTAAATGTGATTCCCGAAAATGTGTTAACCATAGTTTTCAAATTGGAACTCAATCCCCTGTTTTGATTGTTAATTAGAGTGAATTAAAGTGTGTGCTTTAAGAAACCGCTATCGGTGCAACATTTCTTTTGTGGTTCAGTATATTAGGTCTTTACTTCTGATCAACATGTGGTCAGCTGATACTGGGGTCTGTTCCTAGAAGGGTCGAAGCTGTTGGGCTCATTCTCAGTATGCTATCTGCATGAAATATATGATGATGATAATGATGATTGTCATGATGACAAGCACCTGTGGTTGTTGATGATGTTGTATGTGAATCCACTTGTCGTGATGATTGTGGTTGTAATGATGGTGAAGTGTGTCTTAGATATTATTATGAATTATATATTGAGCAACTCCAGCTGCCTTGATTAATGATTTACCTGTTCTGTGTTTCAGTTTGGATATAGCACAAACAGAAAAAGCCAAATTTGGAGAACTTTGTCAGGTAAGTACTCCTTGCTTACCATGTTTCAGAGCCAGTGTCATGGTAATGGCATCAATTCCAGCTCTCATTAGGAAAGACATTGGTAGGAACTTCATTTTGATTTTGGACCTTCACTGAATTGTATACCACTAATTGCCCGTGCGATATCATGGCACCTATGCTCCATCTGCCTCACTACATTCAGTGACATGTCCGGAACAGATTTCCACCATTTTCTCCTCAATGTTTTTTGACCAAGTGACATGTGTCAGCTATTGATTTTTCCTTTTTTACATGAAGAGTTATCAGAAATAACATATTTCTGAAATAGCTTCACACAGTTGAATGTTTAACCACACATTCAGGGAAAGTAGACCTTTTAATGGTTTTGTTCTACCTCCCTGGCTACAGCGAGTATTGTGGGAGGCTGTGCCTCTGATGCCTCTGTGTGATCACTGCTGTGCACACAGTCATGGCTACAGAATCAATAATGCCTGCTGCAATTGGGAAATGCCACACTTTATTGGGTTGTGATTAATTGTAATGATTAATCAATGAAGTTGCAGCAATTGGCTTGTGTTTGATCTCTGAGGGTGTGACCTTTCTGTCTGCCTTGTTCCATTCATTCATTCATGCATTCATTCTTTCATTCATTCATTCATCTATTTCTGTAAGTTGAATGATTTTAATTTCAAAATTTGTCTTCAATGTTGAAACCATCTGTGGAGTGTGTCTCATATCACAAGCTAGTGTGATGTGACAGGGTTCTCTCAATAACAATAGCAAGTCAAGAACAGTGAGTGAAAGATTTGATATGAAACAATGTTATCCTTATGTGAAACCACAACAAAGACACAGGAGGCCAGTGCCAGAGGGTCTCTGTCACTGTAATTGGGATTTGTGCATTGGTATGGAAAGCACGGATATTGGTCATATGCATCACCGGATTGCAAAGCTTACAGGTTCACCAGTAAATTCAGTCAAATAACTCCAAGCATGGGATAAGCAGGGATTGCATGTCTCAAGCTTACACTGTCCTGCTAGATTTCTTGTTATCTGTTTTATGCATGTATAGAGTTTTGTTTTCTGACCTAGATTAGAGTTTCAGATTCAAAGTACACACACAACTTAAGGTTATAAGGTACCCTAACAGGCAGTTTAACACGTCAGATAATATTGTCTTGTGATGTGATGTGGTGCAAATAAACTGTCCTGGTTGGTTGAAGGAATAATTAGTCATATATTTTACAAATGTCCAGGGGCTCTATTCATGAAGCAACCTTACTAAGGTTAACCTTAACTCCCATTCTTTAACATTGCACTGAGGTTACCTTAGTGACTTACGATCACCTTAGTGCTTTGTGAAAGGAGTCCCAGGACTTAAAAGCAAGTGTAGATTAATGGTACCAAACTCTATATATTCCTTCAGCAAGTCATCCATCATGAAGGGACAGAGGTGGCTTAATTGTTTCTGTCGTGTTGCGTTACTTTCCTCTACTTTGACCTGACCTCCCATGACATCGTGTAGATGCTGCGTCAGCACCAACAACTCATGCTACTTTCTATACAACAGTATTATACATTCAGTGCTTTCAGCATCATGCATAATCCTCCTCATCATACTAGGTCTGTCATCTCCATAGCAAAGTCATTTAGTAACATTCATGGATGTAACATGTAAGGGTATGATGTGTCTAAATCTGCTGACACAGATGTTGTGCAGTCACTTTATGGTTCGGTTATAGTTATCTACAGTCCACGTCCTCAAGGCTTGTCATGACTGTAGGGATGATGGTAGTGTCAGAGCATTGCAGTGGGACTCATAATATTCTCATTTTGAAAAAGAAATTTTTAATTGGAACCTTTATCATACACTGATTTCTCTATCGTTAGTATTTACTAAAATTTCAGCTCCAAATGGCAGATGTTCAGGTAAAATGAACTCAGTATTTTCAGCTATATTGATAATTTACCAAGATCCCTAAACATAGTTATTGCTTACCCAAATCACTTATTGACTGAGCAGCTCTTTGAAATGACATTGTGACAAATCTGGCGTGTGCCTCATGGTTTACAGTGTCATCAATCTGTCACTGATTACTGGTTAATGGATAAGCCATGTATACACATTATTCTTGTTGCTGTCCAGTTTCAACTCAAGCTAATCGATCATAGTAATTACCCTACAACTAGCTATTCCCTACCACCGACTTCATTATGTTTTGCTCAAGGCGACTTGCTGTATTGTGCAGTTAGGAGCTTGGTATGACCACAGGGGATAAAGTAGAGCATTCCTCACAAATGCTTGACAGTTTCAAACTATTGAAACTGTCCAAATAAGGTGAATATGAGAGGAATTATGAAATCAAGGTCCTTCAACAACTAATCCCCTCCCACATCCCCTTCCCACACATCCTCCTCCCATACGCCACACATCCTCCTCCCACACATCATCACACCCCCTCCCCCTCCCATACGCCATCCATCCCTCCTCCCATCATCATCACACCACCTCCCCTTCCATACGCTACATATCCTCTCTCCCACACCATCACACCCCCTCCCCTCCCATACCTCCACACATCCTCCTCCCCCACACACCATCACACCCTCCCCCTCCCATATATGCCACACATCCTCCTCCCACACATCATCACACCACCTCCCTCCTATACCGCCACATATCCTCCTCCCACACACCATCACACCCTCCCTCCTATATACACTACACATCCTCCTCCCACACACCATCACACCACTCTCCCTCCCCTACTCCTACATATTCTCTCCCACACACCATCACACCACCTCCCTCCCATACCTCCCACACATTCTCCTCTCCCACACACCATCACACCACCTCCCTCCCATACCCCTACATATCCTCCCTCACACACCATCACACCACTCTCCCTCCTATACCCTACATATCCCTCCTCACACACCATCACACCACTCTCTCCCCCTCCCATACCCCACACATCCTCCTCCCACACACCATCACACCACTCTCCTCCCCTATACTCCCATATCCTCCTTGCCATTAACGACATCACACATCCTCCTCCCACACACCATCATCACACCCTCTCCTCCCATACGCCATATATCCTCTCCCACACACCATCACACCCTCCCTCTCCCATACGCATACACATCCTCCTCCCACACACCATCACACCACCTCCTCCCCTCCTATATACCTCTATATATCTCTCTCCACACACACTATCACACCACTCCTCCCTCCCATAAGCACCACCTCCCTCCACATATCCTCCTCCCACACACCATCACACCCTCCCTCCTATACCCTACATATCCTCCTCCCACACACCATCACACCACCTCCCTCCCATACCCCCACATATCCTCCTCCCACACACCATCACACTCCCTCCCTCCTCCCATACCCCCACATATCCCTCTCACACACACCATCACACCACCTCCCCTCTCCCATACCCCATACCACCACACATCCTCCTCCCCCACACACCATCACACCACCTCCCTCCTCCCATACCCCCACACATTCTCCTCCCACACATCATCACACCACCTCCCCTCCCATACCCCACATATCCCTCCCACACATCATCACACCACCTCCCTCCCATACCCCACACATTCTCCTCCCACACATCATCACACCCCTCCTCCCTCCCATACCCCACATATCCTCTCCCACACACCATCACACCACCTCCCTCCCATACCCCACACATCCTCCTCCCACACATCATCACACAACCTCCCCCTCCCATACCCCCATACATATCCTCCTCCCACACATCATCACACCACCTCTCCCTCCCATACCCCACATATCCCTCTCACACATCATCACACCACCTCCCTCCCATACGCCACATATCCCTCTCCCCACACACCATCGCACCACCTCCCCTTCCTTACTCCACACATCCACCTTCCACACATCATCACACACAACCTCTCCTCCCATACCCCACACATCCCCCTCACACCACTTCCCTCCTATACCACACATATCCCCCTCCCACACACCATCACACCACCTCCACCTCCTATACCTCACACATCCCCCTCACACACATCCTCACACCACTTCCCCCTCCTATACCACACCACTTCCCATCCTATACCACACATATCCCCCTTCCACACACCATCACACCACCTCCACCTCCTATACCTCACATCCACCCACTACATCCCCTTCACACACATGCCCACACCACATCCCCCTCCAACACTTCTCTTTCCCTCCCTCCCCCTCACATTCCCCCCACATCCCCACACCACACACCCCTCCCTCCACGGTACCTATTCAGCATAATGACAGAGTATAATGTTACGATGATACAGCATCCTGATCTCTCCACTGAACAAACGGAGAATGCCTCTCTAGTGCTTTATTGATGCATCACTGATGCTTCATACCAGGGATCCAATTATGTACATGGTGGTATGTATGCTTGACCTTTATGAGAAAGGAAAATTTCATCCATCATATGCTTTCCTCCTTCTCTGGTGCTGTTTACTGAACTGACGTCTTTGTGTCATCAAGACTAATCTCCTCCCCTAGTTTCATTGTTCAAGCGACAAGGACAAGCTCAAACAGATGGCTGGCCAGACAATTTAGAAATGTGTTATAGAGGAGGTGATATTGTACAAACCTCTGACATTTCAGGTTTCCAGTGTACATACCAGTAGTTGGCTTCAAAAATAAACTCAGCACAGGAAGGATATAAAAGTTCAAGCTACTACAGTAAAAATGTAAACATATTTGAAGATTCTAAATTTGTTTAAAACCATTTCAGTGTTTCCACAGCCTTATATACACATGGACAAAAGTCTCACAATTCATAGTATCAATATACCACAATAAGTACCTTATCCAAACCTCATATCAACTTGCTATCTGGATGAATTGACCCTCAAGGAATAATTAAATGGTAAACCAAATTAGAAGAGACTGAAAAACCATATTTTTTTCATTGAAGCAAACATGGCAAAAATAATTGTATTGCTGATAA